GAATATCACTTGGCCGAATATCGAGGGTAAGTAAAATTTTTGAACTACATAATATTCTATTGATTTCTCATTTATATAGGTCCAACTCGTTCACTCTATTCTCGTCTTTTTGCTCTTGATCATTGTAATCATCGAGATTATCAAAATATTGCAGTCAATGGAGCTAACAGTAACAATATTCTTAATATTTCAAAAACATTAACACGTGATCAACAAAACGATGTACCTTTACTCGTTATTTATTCATTAGTTGGTAATGATGTTTGCAATGGTCACGAAGATACATTTGCACATATGACCACTGTTGAAGAAATGTTAAACAATACATTGAAAAACCTGGCTTATCTCGATACTGTTTTACCTAAAGGCAGTCATGTTCTTACAACTGGTCTAGCTAATGGTAGCCTTTTATATCAACTTTTACATGATCGTATCCATCCAATAGGACACGTAGGTCCACCAATAACTTATGAACACCTCTATAGTTATTTAATGTGTTTACAAAAATCGCCATGCAATGGATGGCTTTCATCCAATGATACAGTTCGACAGATGACCACACAACGAGCTGTTGATTTATCAGATGCAGTACGTAATGCTACATATTCATATTCACCACGTAACTTTGATGTTGCTTATCTTGATTTTCCATTCGATGCAGCAATTAAAGAATGGGAAGCACAAGGTGGTGAAGCATGGCAATTGATTGAAGCTGTCGATGGATTTCATATTAATCAATTTGGTCATGGAGTTACATCTGATATTCTTTGGCAATGGTTACAGGCAAATAAACCTCATTGGTTACCACCATTAAATCCACATAATGCGGATATCGAGAGAGTGTTTAAAGACCAAGGTGGTTATTGAGATTAGTAGTTCGCATATTATCTATTTTTATTGTTAAAAAAATGAGTGTACATATTTATACACTTTTGTTTTAACAGCACTATATAGACGAAACAAATTTTCAATAAATACCAGAAATATATTGAGATACACAATACTTTAAAAAGTTTTTTGCTCATAAGATCGCCCAAATCAGCATTGTGAATGTTTTTCCATGATGCTTCATCTGGTTCAATCATTTTGGCCTTGTATCGCTTTAAAACAGCTTGAACGAGACAAGGAAGTTAAATAGACTTACGATTAAACAAATCTACATCGATGTCATCATAAGCAGAGGTAGAACAATGATAGTTTTCAGTAAAAGATTTTCATTTGTTGAATTTACTGATGAGGAGATGAACATTACATAAAGACTGGTTTTCCTGTTGTCTTGATTTGTCTGTCTAAGCCAGGTTGTGGGTGTGGGTTAGAGAACTGTACTGCCCTCCGAAACTCGACCCCGCAGTTCTCTAGTGTGGGTGTGGATGAATATTTTCTTTTCCACCCACACCCACACCCTGAAACATAGTAGTATCCACATCCATCCACACCCACACCCTCACCTAACTTTCAACTTCTATAACTTTGTTTTAAATTTGAGATACGAATATTTTATGCAAAAAACACCAATTCTAAAATCCGTCCGATGAGACCCTTAAACAAGGATGAAACGTGTCCCAAGTAGTTTGAAATTTAACTTCTTTAATTCATCCTCACTCATCCACTCTGCGTGCCCTATTTCTGTACAACGCCTTGCAAAGATATATTTTGCTAAAGATGTGTAACGAGTCGCCGAATTAAAGTTTACATTTATTTTCTTTTCAAACTACATTTATTTATTTCTTTAATTAGTGAATATCGGCAAAGATCGCTTGCTAAAAAGCAAGAGTTGGGCCTAGCAGATTGATTCGTAATGAAAACAATATAAGTCATTATAGGTATTCTCAATCATATTGACACGTACATACAAATCTTTGTCTAGTTATTGTATTGAAGTCAAACAAAATCGATATAACTCATATGCAACGGAGATTATATGTATAGTGAATATCTTCCATGACAGTACTGGTAATTTTTTTTGTTTATTTTGACACAAAACTTACGAATTCGTGTGTTCATCGAACGTCACATACGAAATGAATAGTTTCACCAGGAATCTGTTCACCTCTTTTGCTCCTTTGAAAGCAAAGCTTGCAAGTTAGTCAGCAAGTCGAACATCATGTGCATATGAATATCTCTCATAACTGCTCTGTTCATCTCTTTTGCTCATTTTGAAGCAAAGCTTACAAATTGGTCAGTGTATCGAACACTATATATCAAAAACATATTTCTTACGAAAGCCTTGTTCATCATTATTACTATCTTTCGAGGCAAAAATTATCAGTGAATAAGCTCGTTAAACATCACATACCAAATGAATAGTTCTTAATAGGATTCTGTTAATCTTCGTTGTTTACTTCGAAGTAAAGTTTGCTAAGTAATCAGCTCTTCGGACATCATTTATTAAATGACTATTTCCCATAAGGGTCTTGTTCGCCCTTTTGACATACTTGGAAGCAAAGTTTGCCAGGTAATCTGCTATTCCGACATCACATACTAAATGAATATTTTTCATGACTACTGTGTTTGCCACTTTGGCTTTCTTGAAACCAAAGTTTGTCAGTGAATCAGCTCTTTGGACATCATATATTAAATGAATATTTCCTACGAGAAACTTATTCACCTCTTTGGCTCACTTTGAAATAAAGTTTGACAGGTAATCTGCTATTCCGACATCACATACCAAATGAATATTTCCCACAAGGATGTTGCTCACCTCTAATATAGTTTTGTTCGTTGACCGGAAGTAGACGTAAGAAATATATAATGATTTTAACAGCAACTTTAAATTTCATTTCATTAAAATTTTATTTAAATTTTAAATGTATGTATAACGCGTTTCGAATTTAATTCATCATCAGATACAATACAATTTGAGAAAAACAAATTTTACAAGATAGACAAACATATATATATATGTATATGTATATGAATCATTACAATTTACTGTAACACGTTTGTGATTCACTCTGTTTTGTTTTTACTGAAAAATTTTGCAGTAAAAACAAAACGTTCACCCGGGCGGTGGTCTATCATATTTTTCTTTAAATTTTACTTTATTCTTTTGTTTTATTCCTGTTGGATAAATTACTAGTGGTGCACTTTGTACTGTGCGATTTAATGTTGGTTTATGTTTGAGTATAGCAAGTGATTCACGAATTAGTAGACGATATTTATGTGAGTCTTTACTAAGAATTTTCCATGCTTCCCAATTTAAATGATGTCCTGTGTTTAACTGATGTTTGTAAAGAGCAGAATTTTTATCAGTAATGGTACTTGTTTCTTGAGTGTCTTCATTCTCTTCTTCGTCGGATGATGTAGTTAATTCTTGATAATTAACTTCCTTGTTTTTATTTCTGTTTGAACGTCGAAGATTGGTTTCTTCATTTTTAATTGAAACTAGTTGTGACGAAAGATTTGTTGTTAATTGTTCATGTGAAGTGATTGTAGCTGGAGATGCACCATGTTCGACATGTCTTCTTGTAGCTTGTCGATAAGTTTTTCCTATATATTCTTCAGGACAATTTTGGCAACCAATTTTATAAACTATTTACATCAAGAAAACAAATTGAATGGTCAATTTCACTTGCTGGTTCATATGTAAATTGAATAGTTTCGTCAAATGAATTAAGAATAGCTTGTATTTTCTTTTCATTGGCATCTTTCTTAGCTATAATGAAAGTGTCATCAACGAAACGACGATAATATTCTACACCATTGGTGTAAAGTTCATCCATTAATTTTTTCTCAAGGTTTACGAGAAAGATGTCAGCCATGAGAGGACCAAGTGGTGATCCCATGCTGACACCGTTGTGCTGTAAATAAATATTTTCATTGTAATGAAAATGTGTTTGTGCTGTTGATATTTCTAATAAGCATTTGAGATTTTCTTTATCTTTACAATTTTTACATTTTTTTTTCTTCTTTCTTCTTTTTTTATTTGTTTTTATAATTTGACAATCACAAAAGGAACCATATTTTTCTTCTAAGATAAAATTGATTGTTTTTTGTAACGGTACATTGGTAAAAAGATTGATGGCATCATAAGATAATAGCTTGTGTTCGTTCATGTTGATGTCCAATTTATGTAAATCTCTAACAAATGAGAAACGATCTTGTATTATAGTTTTATGTTCTTTCAAAACAGATAATTCTGTTACAAGCCATTTAGCTAATTTATAGTTGAAGGTGTTACTTGCAGATAAAATTGGGCGCAAAGGCGCTCCCTTTTTATGGATTTTCGGCAGTCCGTAAATTCGAGCTGGTTGTGATCCAACTGGTCGACATTGTTTAAATTGGGTTTCTGTAATAAAACCTGAATCTTTAAGACTTTTTAATTTTCGAATTAATTTGTCTTCTTGTTGTAATGTTGGATCTTTTTCTAATAATTGAAAGGTTTTTTTATCATTAATAATTAGGTTCATTTTGTTAATATATTCTGATTTATCCATTATCACAATGGCATTTCCTTTATCAGCTTTAGTGATATAGATATTCTTATCTTTTGATAGATTTTTTAATGTTTGTTGAAGTTTTTTATTCACGGGTAAGTTTTTTAATGATTTTTCAGACGATGAAATGAATTTATCACAAGCTGATCGAAATTTACTAGCTGTAACTAATTGTTCGATGGTTAGATTGTATTCAGTAGATTCTTCTTCAGCTTTATTTTCATAATCACGTGTATCTGTTGTTCGACCAAGTAATTGAATAAAACAATTTTCCATATTACTTATAAACATTTCATCATCTAGTTGTTTAGGAGGAATAACAAATTTCAAACCATTGTTGAGTGCTTCAACTTCTTCTTGTGTTAAATTTCTTTGTGATAAGTTGTGTATTGATGATTTTGTATATTTGTTTGAAATTTTAGGTGGTGGTTGTTGTTTCAAAAGTTCTCTATTTAATAAAAGATTAAATTTATTGTCATGTCTTTGAATCCATTTCTTCTTTTTTCTTTGCATTAGTTGTTGAATAATAGTTAATAATCGTGAATAAAGCAAAGAATTAAGTGTAATGTTTAAATCACTTTTTATTCGATTTTTATAACGATGAAGAAATGATAGTTCTTTTTTCTTTAATTTAATTTCATTTGATAGAATTTGATAATAACAGTTAGTAACAACAGGCATGTGTCGAGAATAAGTTGGTGATATTCGAAATTTTACGAAGTTAGGTAATAATTTCTTTTGTTTGCATTTTTTTAGAAATTTTATATCTAAATTTGTTTTGGTTAGTTTCGATTGTATTTTGTAATACTGGATAACAGTATCAGGTGCAGACGGTCCATAATGTTGCCTTAGATAATTAATATAGTTTTGTTCGTTGACCGGAAGTAGACGTAAGAAATATATAATGATTTTAACAGCAACTTTAAATTTCATTTCATTAAAA